TAAATTGATGAACCATGTGGATCTGCGTCAGAGGAAACATTACTAACGGCTCGACGCATTAAAGGAGCGTAGGTTAACCTAGATTTCGCACTGAGCCTGTAACACATTGGATGCCATGATGAAGTAATAAGTAAATATTTTAGTTGTTATTTTATTACATTTAAGAATGTGCCTTCTGCCAAGAAAAAAGTTTGAAGTGAATCATGGCTAAATTGAACCCTATACCAGACCAGATATCATGCATCATGCAATACATATTGCAGTAGGCGATGTCAGTATATATATATATATATATATATATATATATATATATATATATATATATATATATATATATATCGTATATTAATATAACATTATATAGTATATATATATATATATATATAAATATACATACTATATATATAGTATCTATAATATCTTATATATATATACTATATATATCCCTACTATATATAATTCCGCTAAAGTTTTGTCTGTTGGTGTGTGTGCTTAATGTATGTGTGTCTGTGTGTTTGACCGGAAATTCATAACTTCCTTCAAAACAGCGACTGTGCGCTCAAACTGATAAGAGATATAGGGGGTCGTGCAGGAACACTATTGGTAGGGGGCAAGAAGTGATAACAGCTGATAAGATAACAAAGGAGCCTTAGAAGGGGAGGGTCACAAAATCCATAACGTGCGTCACAGTGATGGTAGGGTGTTGGTTCCAAGAAATAAAATAGGGGGCAGGATGGAAACATTAGTGGTGGGTGGCAGGACGTGATAACAGCTGATAAGATAACAAAAGGAGCCTTAGAAGGGGAGGGTCTCAAAATCCATAACGTGCGTCACAGTGATGGTAGGGTGTTGGTTCCAAGAAATTAAATAGGGGGCAAGATGGAAACATTAGTGGTGGGTGGCAGGAAGTGATAAGAGCTGATAAGATACCATAAGGAGCCTTAGAAGGGGAAGGTCTCAAAATCCATAACGTGCGTCACAGTGATGGTAGGGTGTTTTTTCCAAGAAATAAAATAGGGAGCAGGATGGAAACATTAGTGGTGGGTGGCAGGAAGTGATAAGAACTGATAAGATACCATAAGGGGTCTTAGAAAGCGAGGGTCATCAATTCATAGCACCGGCCACAGCGACAACGAGACATTGGTTCTAAGAAGTAAGACAGGGGCAGGGTGGGAACATTATTGGCGGGTGGAAGGAATTGATAACAGCTGATGAGATAGCCAGGAAAATTCAAAGCAGAGTTGTAGCAACACTGGGAACTGCTCCAGCAAGTAATTCAGAGGTGCTTAGGGAACATTAAAGGTGGAAGATAAATCCTGTCATTGTCCTACAAGGGCTTTTTGGGAGTCCGTATCTGCTCACATCACCGTAACCAAAGAATCAATGGGCGAAGGCTTAGTAAGTCAAGATAATAATTCCTATCAGTAAAATCCCTCAGTTTAGCGGTCGGTGCTTCCACCGCTAAACGTCTCGTGGGCGCAGGAGACGCTCGAGTTCCCCGAAAAAGGATGTATGGAGTTGTTGCCCAGTGAGGAATGATAAGAGCCACTGTGATTTCGATATTTTTAATATCGGAATCCTTCCAACCGCTATGCTGTCCGATTTCCAACAAATGGTGATTCAAGAAATATGATAAGACCTAACATCGGCAAATGTTCATTAAAAGGGAGAAACATGATGAAATGGGCCGTTTTGACATAGGAATTAGGGTAAGTGTTAGTGCTCAGCACAGGAATCCTGTCAGTTATCAGTAACAAAGTTTAACCACGCGCAGAACTGCGCGTCAGCCAGACTGGTATATATATATTAGTATATATATACCTATACGTATATTAGTATATATATAGTAATACTATATTATATATATAATATATATATAATATTATATATATATATAGGATATACATATATACAGGGGGGGGTAAACTTCGTCGGAGGGGCCCGTGGTGCAAAAAAGCCAACTTGCTTCCATCCGAACTGATATATATATATATATATATATATATATATATATATATATATATATATATATATATATATATATATATATATATATATATATATATATATATATATATATATATATATATATATATATATATATATATATATATATATATATATATACAGGGGGGGGGCAAAAAAAAGTCATTTTGCCTCCATGACTTTCAAGGCGCTATAAGTTACACTTTATTAAATTTTTATCGGACATTTTTACTACCATATTAAAGAGCACATAAATACTATAATGATACTCCGCCACAGCCTTCTGGAGGAGCGCTCCATCGAGAGATTCGGCCGCGCGAAGTGAGTGGTACCGAGTTGAAGGCGGAAGAATCGTTGATTTCTCCGCCACTGTAGACCACCCCGTTGAGCTCCGCCCGAACCGAGTAATTGAGGGGGTTTAGTTCAGGACCCCCGCTTAAATACTCCATCTTTTCCAGGTACTCAACGTTCTTCCATTCCAAGTAGGCGAAAGTTTTTCCAACGCCCTTCGATTAAATGTGTTGTCACCCAATCCTGTAGCAGTACAAAGTTTCCAAGAAGGTACGGGCGACGACATGAAGATGGGATATTCTCCTCGAGTTGCTCGATGTAGCCACCAGCGCACACCCTCAGTCTGGGGCCCACGAAGAAAATATCGGTTCATCCATTCCAGGTACGGCCGGTCCACACCATCAACCCGCGCCTTGGTGAATGGGGTGAAGATGATGTCCTGGACCGTAGCGAGCTGCTCGATGTTTGAGGTCTTGCAGATCAAGAGTACTGGTCTCCAGGTAGCTATCCATGGGTGATTCCATTCAAGAAGTTCCGCAGCTGTTTGGAGGCCACGTGAATTCCAAAGGCGTTCTCCACTCAGGCCGCGACTGGAGATGACTTCATATTTTGGTGTACATGAAGGACAAAAAGCCTTAACGTTTTGAATGGAAGTGCACTGCGTGGAGCATCCCAAAAGGATTCATCAACAATTAAGGCTTGACCCATTCTTCTATCCCTGGAATAGGGGAAGAAACAGATGGTTTTGTGTATATGAATACCTGCCATTGCTTAACTCTCGAGTATACATTTGTATTGACTTCTATCCTTTTCTGGGGTCCTTCATGTTCGCGCGGATGTATTTAGCACTGCTATATATGGTAAATGCATAAGTTCGTCAGCTGTTCAAAGAGGAATTCATTCCAAGGAAGCTGTTGATGCATTGGAATGCAGCGAGTGCTTACGTGTCCCATTTTAGTTCATTCTTTGTTTTCATATTACAGTATTGCGTTAACTCCAGGGGAATGAATGGGACTCAACAAGTACATTTGAAATAGATTGCACGAATTCAAACAGCAAAACGGTTCATGTAGGGATAAGTTGCTCGCACCAGGAAATCATTCCCCTTTTTCTTTGACAACACATGGTCTTACTTGCATGTTTTATCCAAACGTTTTGGTTACAGGGCAAATATGTGAACGGTGCACGATCGCGGGAGTACAACGTTTATTCGACTTTTCAATCACATGAACCGGAATTCGATTACTTAAAATCACTCGAGATTGAGGAGAAAATCAATCAGATCAAATGGCTCAAGAAGAAGAACGCTGCAAATTTTATACTCTCAACAAATGGTATGACATCGCCGTTGTATGCGTTGAAATTCGAATATGCTAAATAATCCACTTGCTTTCTTTGTCAGACAAAACTGTAAAGTTATGGAAGATCAGCGAACGTGAGAGAAAAGTTGCCGATGATTCTTGGAATATTCGACGTGGACAGTGAGTGTTCTTCGAATACGTCTGCTCCCTGTATTTTTTGTTGCAGAATTCATGCCGCTCCCTTGTTGGGGATGTAAGGGATCGCTCGATTGTGTAACATTGTCTTAGATGGAATGCGAACTCATTGTTGTACCTATAAGAATGTGCACTTGGTTCTAGACTACTGTCTTGATGTTTGACCTCAAAGGGAGGACTTTAGTTCAGTCTTCAAAGGCAACAATAAAGTTGCGCTAAAGTGCTGCCTTAACATTACCTGAGATATTACTTTTCAATTATTCGCAGGAGTTTATATACAAGTGCCATTTTAAAGACACATGGTACGCTCATACACATTGAGGGTGTATGAGACTATCAGCCCCCCAGATGTCGATGTGTCGTGGTCCCCCCGCCCAAACATGCCCAGGAATGGAGATACAGGGCCGTGAAACACGCTAATTCCTCCATGCTCCGCCCACTGCCTTTTTACGGCGCAGATTCCCGCCGTTCATAACATCCGTCGTAAGCGCGCCTGTCGCGTGCGGCTCCTTGGCACTTTGCCAAGTCCTTTAATTGCGCTCTCAAATACAAGTAAAACGCAATTTCCTGATGCGGATAACATTGGAGGTGCTACAAAATAAGAACAGAAGATGATGACGAGGGTCAGAACTTAAAAGCAACTGTGCCACTTCTGCAACATCCCTCGGAGGCCGCGTATTTCCACGAAACATGAAAATAAAAACGGCATACTCGTTAGTTTAATACAAGCAAAACGCAATTTCCTGATGCGAATAAAATTTTAGGTGTTGCTCATGCTTCAAAATCCATGTACAAGGAGATGAAGATGACACAGGCTAGAAATGAAGCACAACGATGTAAATGTAAACAAAACAAAAATGAAAAAATCAAGGAAAGGCAAATTAGATAAACTGGCCTGTAAATTTCTACGATCCGGCGCGAATCCGGCGCCAAAAGCCATAGAAATACTTAGAACAAACGAGTGGGACGCTTGGCTGTTTTATTTTCATGTTTCGTGGAAATACGTGGCCTCCGAGGGATGTTGCAGAAGTGGCACAGTTGCTTTTAAGTTCTGACCCTCGTCATCATCTTCTGTTCTTATTTTGTAGCACCTCCAATGTTATCCGCATCAGGAAATTGCGTTTTACTTGTATTTGAGAGCGCAATTAAAGGACTTGGCAAAGTGCCAAGGAGCCGCACGCGACACGCGCGCTTACGACGGATGTTATGAAGGGCGGGAATCTGCGCCGTAAAAAGGCAGTGGGCGGAGCATGGAGGAATTAGCGTGTTTCACGGCCCTGTATCTCCATTCCTGGGCATGTTTGGGCGGGGGGACCACGACACATCGACAGCTGGGGGGCTGATAGTCTCATACACCCTCAATGTGTATGAGCGTACTATGTGTCTTTAAAGAGATGCAGATCAACTTTTTTTTCACGTCCTCAGATTCGTTGGTAGCCTGCAAATTCCAAATATAGTACCAATGGAATTGATTGTGGAGGCCAGTCCAAGAAGAGTGTACGGAAATGCCCACACATATCACATCAATAGCATATCTGTTAATTCTGATCAGGTGATTCTTTGTTTCCTGAGATGGTTTTCACAAGTACTCTTCTCGCCGGGCCGACCGTTGACCATTCGTTGCTGAAGGGATGTTGGACCACACCTAGCGCACGTTTGGCGCGTGTCCAACACTTCTCCACCTATGGGTGGCCTACGGTAACCCATCTACTGGTCCAGCGTAGCGTTGCCTCGAAGTGATGTTTTGCTTTCCAGCTCACCTAATCTTCTGCGCTCTATTTTCAAAAATGAAAATTTTAGGAAACTTTTCTTTCTGCAGATGACTTACGAATCAATTTGTGGCATCATGAAATAACGAACGAGTCCTTCAGTGAGTTTGTGCGCACATTCTAATCTGCATGTAGCAAGACATATTTTGTCCAGATATTGTCGACATCAAACCAACGAATATGGAGGAGTTGACAGAAGTCATCACTGCTGCCGAATTCCATCCCCACCAATGTAACTGGTTGGTGATCACGCATTAATTCTTAGTTTCTTCAGAGGAGACATGCAAAAGCACGTGTAACAACAATCAAGACAAACTAGAATTTTGAAACCAGTCATGGAACATCAACACAATGCAAATATTACAGAAATAATATAATAATCACCTGTATCACCTTGATCATCGAGTTCCTCGAGCGGGCGCCAGTAACGTCTCCATTCGTCCCTGCAACGTGCAAGAGTTGCCCAAACTCTCTCTGCTCGAGGGACACGATGAACTTCATACCATTCGTTCAGAGCTTTCACGAAGAAGTCTGACCATCGCATAGGCGGTCGTCCAGGCGTTCGCTTGACATCCCGTGGAATCCAGTCGGTGATCGCTCTGGTCCAGCGGTCGTCCTCGAAACGCATGACGTGTCCGGCCCACCTGATCTTCGAAACCTTGGCAAATGCGGCGGCGTCTCTGATCTTCGATCGTCGGCGGAGTGCGGAGCTCCGGATTCCCTCTCTCACTTGCGTGTAGCGGGAAACTCCGAGCATCGCCCTTTCGATGGCGCGTTGAATAACGCCGACCGCATGCTCATCCTGCTTTCGTAGAGTCCTAGCGTATAATAATATTAACATAATATTTACAATTCACGTGAAATCGGCAGACAGAAAAGGAGAAAAGACATGAATCTACAGCACACATTTTTCACTCAAAAATCCGCGCCTACGAGTCGCTGATAGGGGGCTCGAAAATTAGAGTGTAAGTATCCAGTAGCGTGACGGTTTTGTCCTACAGCACTAGAAGAAAATACACAAAAGCAAAAAATAACAGCATGGAAATAAAGTTTGTAACATTAAATGACTTTGACAGGATCGGGACGACCAATTGAATTACCTTAACCCTAAGGAATATTGCCCCAATCAAGTGCTTCTACCTTGTGAAATAGATTGTTTTCATGGCCCTTCAAGAAGAAAAGTTCAAGGAAAATAGAATATAAACCATTCTGCATTGGAGATCGATTTCAGAGACTACGGAAATCACAGGTTGATCATACATGGAATGAGTGTCGCCTTCGTTTACAGACACGACTGCTATTATACTCGTCTCCGACGGGTGAGGCACCCTGAGGGTACCTTGTAAACTCTCCTTCTGACGGCCGCAACGTGGGGGTCACTCATTTGGAGCCAAGTGGTACTGTCTCAGATATCGCGCACCAGACGATTTGGACAAGGAAGGACGCATGATAAAACACTGCGGATCAATATTCTTCTTTTTCTAGGTGTTGAAGACTCTCATAGGCAATGTGGGTATTTTCCTCTCTTTTGGAGAAGTTCTGCTCTTCACCTCATATTCTGAAGTGAGCCTGTAGGTAGATCAAGGTAGTATGTGTAAGCCCGCACGCGTTACTTTTTATTTTTCTTCGAGTTGTTTTCAATGCTGCAAGAGTCTGGATGTCCTCTCCTTTCTAGTATGAGACTTGAAGTACAGCGTTCCGTACTCCAAAAGAGGTCAGACGCAAATTTTTTAGGAGCCCATCGCTACTAAAAATGTACTAGCAGTCATAAAAAAACCCAACTCTGTTACCCCTCCGTCACAGTTCTCATTGTTGCATGTGAAGCCATGATTCTATAGCATGCTTTATTTGTTATTTAGTCGCCCTTCATTTGCAGGTTTGTCTACTCGTCCAGTAAAGGTTCTATCCGTCTCTGCGACATGCGAGATCGTGCGCTATGTGATGCTCATGCAAAAAGTAAGCTCGTTGTACACCTTCAAGAAAAATCAACAGCATAATCATCACCTGGTTCCAGTATTCGAGGAGGCAGAGGATCCCAGTTCAAGGTCCTTCTTCTCCGAGATTATTGCTAGTGTCAGCGATATCAAATTTTCGCACAATGGGCGGTACCTCCTCACTAGGGACTATTTGACTGTGAAGGTATGTCGCTTCTTTTGATAAGCCGTACGTTTCAACGCCTTAAAAAGGTGTTTTTTTTTTCGAGGTCGCCATAATTTGCAGGATGGCTCCATTTTTCGCTTCACATGAATTCTCTCCCTCTGTTCTACAAATTTACTAGTTTTTTTCAATTGCGGATGATTCAACGAAAGTAGCTATATGTGAAGCACTGAGGGGAAATCTCATGGGTTTCTGTAGATCTTCCTTTCGGAAGCGTTCCAAATCATGACACATAGCAAGACATTTATTTGTCTCACAGCAACCGGAAACGTGTGCTGCTGGAAGAATTTCTTTTCTGGGAGAAACTTTTAATACATTTATGAAAACGATTTCTCCTGGAATTCTGCTCGGCAGTGCCGTGTGACAAAGGAGCATTCTCATAAAACCATCCATGGAACTCTTTCATGAACCCTCCGTTGGTTACATTCTGTGACCAGATTGCAGAAACCAGATTAAAGCTTGAACGGCATACTGGGTCTTAATCTGTAGAAAAAAAGTGGGCAGGCTTCGGAAGCTCAAGCGCTACGTAGATATCCTCTTTCAGTTGGCATTAATGCAACTTATGTTACTCACTGTGGTTGTATGTAACTTTTTCATTATTCAAATAGACGTTTTTCCCGAAGTGGTTTAAAAATATCTTGAGCTTTACTGGGTTAACACATAAGTCACGCCGTTTTTTTTTCTAACTCGAATTTTCGTGTTGAAGAAGAAAGTTTTACCGCTGGGTTCTATAACATTTGATAGGAAATTTTTTGCCCTGAAGATAGACTGCTTCCCCTAGTTTTTTTTTACTCTATTCCCGATAATCTGAAGTGCTGTGAGCGGAGGGTCCCGCCGACAGAATGAGCATTTTCGATATCTTTTCCTCTTGCTTTCAATTCTAAAGCTGGACCGAAGATGCCAATGCCACAAGAGGTTAGAGCGATTCAAAGTTTTTAAGTTCGATCTCGCAGAAAATTGCAGCGGACACCTTACTGAGGTGGATTAGAGGCTCAGCTTGAATCAGCTTCACGAAAATTACTCTGGATTATGTAGAGTTAATGGAGCTTAACGGATGCTTTCACATTCTCACTGTTCGTCACCTTTCTTTGACGCAAGAGGTCTAAAAGCTAGCGCATGGGTCTGCAGGAAGTCGCACCCCAAGAGGGCTCTCCATTCGATGTACATTTTCATAGTCGAAGTTCCATTCCCTAATACACTGCCCCACATAATGATAGTTCCACTCATAAATCTTACAAAATCCCGTCTTACACGACGTTTTCAAAAATGCCTCTGTAGGAATTGTGGTAATTACCAATACCAATTCTGCATGCCAATACCAAAAACTTAATTCGAAAGAATAGGTTTTTTTCTTCATTTTCACCAAACAAATCGATCATCCAACAACAAGTGTACAACAAAACGAATGAATTGTTAATTTAGTAATCTATTGGAGCTCCATTTCTCCGAATAAGTTGGAAAATGCGGTTGTCCATGCTCGAATAGAGGTTTCAATAAGCTTTCGGTCGACTTGGTGCCATGCATTAAAGACAGCCCCCGCGATCAAAGTGGCTCGTGGTCGCCTTTGCTGTGCAAGTAGTCTAGCCTCCAAGCTAGAAGACTGTTCACCTTTCGCGACTCTATTGTGAGCGTGGAGGCTGCTATAGCCGCTCAAAGTGCTAGTTCTAACTCCTCCTCAGTCGGACCGCCTTTACTTGCTAGATGTCCTCCGACGGAGGCCACTCACTTGTTCTTAGTTGGGGCGGCGGGCATTGCTAATGCCCCTGGATAATTCTGCTCTCCTTCATTACAGTTTACTCATTGGAGGTATATACATTCAATTCAACCCATTTCGCGAGGTGAAACGCGTAAAAACACGAGTGACGCAATTTTCGTGATGCAAAACCACGACGCACAAAAGGTGCGCTACCGTAATCACAAATTCAGACACCGTGTTGATAAAATTCCTTTTTCCTTCCCAGAGTTTTTCCTCTGCGTTTTTGTTGTTTTCTTTTTGTATTCTTTCTTTTGCACTGGATGATATCAACTACTGCGAGATGTGATAGAGAGATTTGTGAGCTAGGGGCTGCACAGAGACCGCAGGGAGGTGTAACTGTGAGGGAGCGATTTTGTTTATGTTGTTCTGGAGAACGCTTCTTGCCTGTTTTCTTCTTTGGGAGATTACTTATCAGCTGCTGTTTCATAATTGGAAAGCAGCTATCCATGAGACTTTTATCGCGGGAGCTGTCTTTAAGTGACTCCTTAAGCTCACGGACATCGTGGAATCGTGCATTGTTCGCATAGATCTTGCGCACCATGAAGCCCCACACATTCTCGATTGGGTTTAAGTCGGGGCTATGTGCTGGCCAGGGCAAAAGAGCGATTTGATGACGACTGAACCACTCTCGAGTGCTTCGACTGGTATGAATTGGTGCATTATCGTGCACGAAAAAGAACGGATGCATCAATGATTGACTCCTTAAGCTCACGGACATCGTGGAATCGTGCATTGTTCGCATAGATCTTGCGCACCATGAAGCCCCACACATTCTCGATTGGGTTTAAGTCGGGGCTATGTGCTGGCCAGGGCAAAAGAGCGATTTGATGACGACTGAACCACTGTCGAGTGCTTCGACTGGTATGAATTGGTGCATTATCGTGCACGAAAAAGAAGTCTTCTTGCCGATTTTAACGCCAGAAAAGCAGTGCACCTGGTCGCATGACATTAAGATAATCGGAAGACTTCATTTTCTTCGAAACGAAACACAACTTTAGACGTCCCGTTGATGTGATGGCAGCCCAGACCATAATACCACCTCCTCTGAAGTTCCGCCTGGAAAAATGAAGCTTCTCTTTCCTAAGATCGTGCCAGTAGGACCGATTTCCGTCTGGACCGTCGCAGTTGAATTTTTTCTCATCAGCAAACACGACCTGAAGAAAAAAAAACTGAAAAGGCAAGACAGACAAGCAGTAGGGCACCGCTGCCATTAGCTAACCTTACTCCATTTGGTTTCGGCAAGCTTTTCACGACGCCTTTCTGTAGAAACGGTGCCTTCCTCATTTTCCTTCTGAGAATGAACTCAGACTTCTTCAAGACACGCCGAACAGTTTCCTCTGAGACGTTAAGCTTCAAAGTTGACTTTATTTCCCGGCACGACATTGGAGAATTTGATGCTTCTCTCAAAATACGGCGCTTATCCCGATCAGAGAGCAAAGGAGGACGCCCAGAGCTCTTCTTAACTCCATATCCTGCAGGTTGCTTGACAAAATTGTTGATCACATGATGACTGCGGCCCAAATCCCGTGCGATTGACGGTTCGACAGTCCTTGAGTCTTCTTTGCGATTATCTGTCCTTTTTCAAAGTCCGATAATGAATGTCCTCTTGCCATAGCCTAGAAAAGGCAAAGAGTCACAATGATGAGACAGTTTTACCCAACAAAAATGAGACGCAGCGAAAAAACATGAGGTGGAACTATCATTTTGTGGAATTGTCAGAGTGACCACTTTTCAAAAAAAAAATGAACAAAAAAACTTTTCTTTAAAGTTAAATTCCGGTGTTGACATGCAAACTGGTATTGATTATTACCTCATTTTCTACTTGAGGACATTTTTGAAAACCTCATGTAAGACGGGATTTTGTAATATTTATGGGTGGAACTATCATTATGTGGACCAGTGTAGTTTGGAGCGACTTCCAGTCGTACTTTTGGGTTGGCCCATAAGTAATGGCGTTTTTTTCAATTGGAAATTTTGTTCAAAAAGTGAAAAGTTTTGCGAGCAAGTTTGATATCATCTGATAGGAAACTTCTCGTACTATAAGAATATCGAAACAGCTTTGGGTGAGGAAATGATTTTTGTAAGTTTTTTAGTCGTTGAAGTTGAAAGTTGAGTCGGCGAAAATTAGTACCTTCGACAGCTGCCTCTATTTACGTCTATTCGAAGTGCTAAAATCGCTTAAGCTGCTCCATACATTTGCAATAGGTTGAGCTAGAAGTCCCAGCGAGGGAATCCTCATAGGACGCTTCGGAACTAATTTCAAGAATTTCGAAGTTGGCAACCTTCACCTCGCAGATAATGGGCAGGATCACAAGTCATCGCGTCTGTTCCACTTGAAATTTTATGGTAATAGTTGGTTGTGTTTCGCTAATGTGATTGTGTAATGGAAATCTGTTTTCCATAGCTGTTTACTTTTAATTTCAGGTTATTAATACGGAATGTCAGGTCGATGAGAATCAGCATTCCCGACTTCTTCTCCCTACCGCTTTCCACGGAAGCTTCAAAGCCCCTGGAGCAGCTCAATAGATTCGCCATGGTTTGAGTAAAGCATTGAGTAACAGATTAATATTAGGACGGCTCACAATTGATTTTGAGAAAAGCAAAACCGACAACGCTGACCTTGCAGACATCCGGTCGACCCATACCTCACGATTTTTTTTTGTTTTCCTGATTAAATTTCAACACAGTATTTACAACACTATAAAAAATATAGATGTTTACAATAAACTAGTCAATAATATATTCTCCATTGTTTCTTACAACCTCCTCCCACCGATCAGCCAGCTCAGTCAGTCACCGAGAAGGCATTGAAAAGCTGGCTGATCGGTGGGAGGAGGTTGTAAGAAACAATGGAGAATATATTATTGACTAGTTTATTGTAAACATCTATATTTTTATAGCGTTGTAAAAGTTATGTTTCAAATGTAATCGGGAAAACAAAAAAAATTTAAAAAAAATTGTGAGGTATGGGTTGATCGGATGTCTGCAAGGTCAGCATTGTCGGTTTTGCTTTTCTCAAAATCAGTCGTGGTGAGCCGTCCTATATCAAACAGATTTCCATTGTAGAATTAGCGAAACATCCAACATTACCATAGAATTTCAAGTGGAACAGACGCGATGACTTGTGATCCTGCCCATTATCTGCGAGGTGAAGGTTGCCAACTTCGAAATTCTTGAAATTAGTTCCGAAGCGTCCTATGAGGATTCCCTCGCTGGGACTTCTAGCTCAACCTATTGCAAATGTATGGAGCAGCTTAAGCGATTTTAGCACTTCGAATAGACGTAAATAGAGGCAGCTGTCGAAGGTACTAATTTTCGCCGACTCACTTCAACTTCAACGACTAAAAAACTTACAAAAATCATTCCTCACCCAAAGCTGTTTTGATATTCTTATAGTACGAGAAGTTTCCTATCAGATGATATTGAACTTGCTCGCAAAACGTTTCACTTTTTGAACAAAATTTCCAATTGAAAAAACGCCATTTCTTATGGGCCAACTCAATAGAAGCACCGTTTTCTGATCATAGACATCACACATTTTAAACTTTGTGCAGTATGAGAGCCAAGATTATGTGCAGAAAAATGGTGTCAAACTTCCCATTTATGTCAACTCGACACTCAGTTTTGATAAACTGAAAATTGGCAAAAGCCAAGACAGAGGAGAATATGGTGATGATGATGATGATGATGATGATGATGTGCAACTGTTTTGTAGAGCAGAAAATTATCTTTCAAACAAAATAGAGACACTGCGAAAAATCCCCACTTTTCCTACTACACAACTTTTAAAAGAGAAAAAACCGTCACCCATGGTTCAACTCAGATTTTCCTTGTATATCCGAAACATCAAAGTACTACGTAGAAATTAATTGTTGTTTGCCAAGTCGACTTGTTTCTCAAACCACTGTATACTTGTTAGTTCATCGTCTCCGTTACGCGAACCATTTCTGCTCACGAAAGTGAACCCTGTTCCATTTCAAGGTTTGGGATATTCAAATGGAAAATCGGCCAGTCGAGACTTACACTGTTCACGACCACCTTCGCACAAAATTGTGTGCATTGTACGAAAATGATTCTATTTTCGACAAGTTCGAATGTGGATGGAGTGGTGATGACCAGTGAGTTTCTTTGAAGTATCTTTTTTCACCGTGCTTATCTGATTCTTCAATATCCACGCTATGCCCAGCCCAGCGTTACACACAAGTGGACAACGTTTTGTTCAACGAGATTTTTTCCCACGCGAAGCTTCCACAGTCTAGCCTTTTCCTTCACTTCTTTTTTTAGGGTTTAGATTTATTAAATCCTGTGGTAAGCGGAATAAAACTGAAGAAAAAAAGCCAATTCAACTACTTAGTGATTAATGCCCTAAATCAGAACCCTCGTAGTTGTGAGCATTATATGAGGATACCGTGTGTAGGGAAGAAGCAGACCAGGCATGACTGAGGGGGTACACAAACGATCAAGGCCTAACATTAGATAGGGTCATGATCGGTGTAACAATGATGATAAATGGAAATGATAAAGTATCCAGATTGCGAAAGTGGAGTCAGGTTACGTCGCTGACCCGCCGTGCTTTTATCGAGCGCTTTCGAATCGCGGACGAGGGACATCCTCTGTGACTGTGGATCTAGGGCCTGTCCACCTTACTCATTCGCGGGCGATGTCCAAAATTTATTTTTTAGGCATATACTAACAGGCTCTTACCACAATTTGTTCCGTACGTATGCCCGTGGTTCGTCGGAAGCAAAAATGTGGGAGGCGCGGCCGCAAGAACCTCATTCGTTATTGCGAACGCGGCGAGTTTGTGGTGGAGCTAGTGCTCGCGCCCAGAGAGGTCGCCGACCGGTAGGCGATGTAAGTTTTGCGTCTCTTTTTACATCTTTGTCACATTGTAAACATAACTTTTTGAAGAACAACGATGATGAGCTTGCTGCTGATGCTCTCGATTTCAATCGAAAGATCCTCCACGTTGCATGGCATCCGAGGGACAACATAATAGCTCTTGCCGCCACGAATAATCTTTACATCTTTTCTGACAAGTGATCAAGAACGCAGGTACCGTTGCAATGTCTTTGCATTTCTTCTAAACAGAAATCAGCTTGCTCTCTGCGAAGCATGGGGTGAGAGAGAAGCAACGTTGCCTTTCTGATTTCTTCAGTTTTCCCTCCATATTCTTTCCGCAGTTTTCTTTTTTGGGTAATATATAAACCGATATATTGATTTGTCATTCCTACGTTTGCCACATGGTGTAATTTTGTAATGTAATCCTTGCAATTTGATGAGTAATAACTCGACGGTTGGCCGTTCAATGTAATGAGCGATACCGAGAATCGCAAGATTTTTACAAGAGGGATTGGAGCTAATACAAATCTGCCGCATCTCATGCCCTGTATCAATCCAAAGTGAGCTTGCCGCTAGAGATCCACTCTATGTATATTGTCAGATGAAGTCGTAGCATGGTGAAGTGAAATTAGAAAGCATCGAGAGCTTTGTGCCGTTCATTCTGTAATCTTCTTCTCTCTGGAGTTGCCCACTATTCTTATGGATCTTCCTCACAATGCTCTGTGCTTTTGATTATTTTCGAGTTTTTAGCTTGTTTTTTCTTGAGAGGCTGATGCAAATTTCTGAAATGAGTGAGAAATTAATACGGAATTCATGGTTTTCAAGCAGAGACTATGCAAAGTAAAAATGCAAAACCATAATCACTGACAATTTATCTTCCGGTGTGCAGCTCAGTGCTTCAGTTCTGAACCGATGAAACGGTCCGACTTCGTGAACTGTTTCGGCGAGTGCGAGCAACGGCGCGCTAACGAGCTTCAGTTGTTTGCATTCCTATTACGTACTTGTATAATGGGCTCCAGGTTATGAATCTGTCTCAGTTCTAAAAACACTGTCGAATCAAAAAAAAAACGAATCAATGTGTTTGAACTTGCCAAAACCACCGATTATAGAAATTTCAGTGGACCACTGAAACCCAGTTTTCATCTACATTGCTACATCACGGTGTGGCCGATGACTCGCGTAGATCCATCCACGCAATCTTTCGTTTCTGTGTGTTGGTCAACAATGCGAACCTAACTCCCTTTATTCCTATTCATACCGGCTGCCTTCAAAGATCATTCAGTGTTTACGTAGTCCAATCTTAGCCTTAATCTAAATCCTTTGTTTCTGCACGCGATTGGTTGCGACAGTAAGGTCCGCGGTCGTCGTTCACCCAGAGTCCAGTTCTTAACTGCTCATTCAACTTCAAGTTTCGTTCCAAGTTTTTTTTTCGCTACTGTACGTTTTCATTTCTGACACATTAGTTTTGCAGCATTGGAACAAACGATGCTGTCTCTTACAGCTCTGATGGTAAAGATCCTTTCGTGCACAGCATTGTCGAGCTAGCCATGGCTTTCGATTTTCGCTATCAGTCTTTTCTACGTCCTCTATTAACCGTTTCTATGAATCGTTCATGTTGTGTATCTTCAGTAGCTATTGGCGAGAATCTCTCGTTGAGACTGACTAGATATTGTTTTATTATTTTGTACTCGTTCTGCTCCTTTATGTATAGTTCCATAGATGCTGAGCAGATTTTACAGTGTCGCTGGTTGAGAGAGATGCTGTTGCGACGTGTTGTTACTTCAATAAGTGGTTCAGGTACTACTCGATTATGTCCAGAGCGATGATTGTGGAGAAAGCGTTGTGACTAAGTTGTTTCATTTTATATTTTATGTCCTTTTATCTGATATTTTATAGTTATCACATACATTGTTATCTATTGCTCGTAGTCATTATCGGCTTGTTCGTTGCTTCAAAAATTGTCCGCAACGGTGTTGTTGCGGCGCACATTTATTCAGGGGACATGAAGTGTGTCTGTTACGAGTGCAGTTCAACATATCAGAGTTGCGACGGGGATTATGAAAGGAGCGTTGCAAGTGGTGCCACGTGCGTGTCATTAGCACCACGACTTAAGTGGTTCAACGGGGCAACGCTGCTGACTCAGGTCATCTAATAAGGAAAAAGCCTTTCAGTGTGCACAAGACGCCGCGACTGAGATTCCTGAACTGCACTCGTCTGCCCTCGACGCGACTTGTACGTTTTCCCGGTGGTGCACCGGGTTCGTTCAATCGTTCATCGCTTTCTCCCCGCGCTCTATTCATACCGCCCGCACTGAACACCGCCGTGTTCTCGATATCTGTATACTCACAGGTTGTGCTGTTCGTGTGGGTGGTTATACTGGTAAATCCGGTGGTGTTGATGATGAATTGTGTCTGTCCCTCGCTCTCACTGTGTATGTGTGTGCATATTTACTATCACAGAGTGATTCACTTGCATTACCCGCGTGCGCATTGCGTGAGCGACGCGTCCGCGATTAGGTATGGATGAGATTCTATTGGCGGCTTCGTCTACCACACATCTCGCTGCCCTCCCTTTAATTAATTGATTGTATTGTATTGTATTATGCAGGTGGTGGCGCGACTCTGGCACCATAGTTTGTGATGGGGTTGCGCCCATCGCCTGTTATATAATTGATTTCTTCTCTTCCGTTCGTACTGGTCTCCTATCAGCCACAGTTTGTCTTTAATATACACATCGAACACATCCCTCACTGCGTGTTGGTTCACCGTCTAGTTAAGAATAAGTGTTATATATGTCGATTGTTCGAACACAGGAGTCCACGAAATAAACGGTTATAAGTATTAATTGCATGACATGACCATGACAGTCTATTCATTCGTCAAAAGGAAATCTGATAATACATAGCGATGCGATGAAGTAGTGCTTCACAAGATTTTGAATAATCGGAAGATCGTGATGCCTAGACAGAAATTAATGATGAGCAATATGATGGTGCCATAATTTCGCACTGAACGCTGCACCAGCGCTTTCATGTCGTATGTCACGATGGTCGCTGAAAAGGATTAAACTCAGCAGTTCGTCTTCTTCTTTCTCTGAATAGCTGTGGATGTTGCTGCATCGCTAAAGAAGTGGTTGGGTTCTATTATGGGTCCTATGCTGGGCTTACTGAGGCGTACCCGTTTACTTTTTTTTAAACCGTTTTCTGTTGTAGGAGACAAATCGCAGCCATACACCTATTGATCCGAGCATAGCGAACAAGGGTTTCGGGGATGGTTTAGTGTCAAACTGGCCTCATAAGTGCTGGGATGGCAGGGTCTGCGGCAACAAAAAGGCTAAGTCGGACGGGGTCGCGTTCTATTCTGGTTTTTGGATGGCCTTCTGCAGTCGTAGCAGGTGATTAGAAGTAGTGCCAGTGGCTTATTAGTGGCATAACTTGTTCAGCAACCACTTCTAAACGGCTCTCGTTTCGGGTTTCTCTTATATTTCCCTTCTCCTTCAGTAGTTATGGGAAGAACTACCGAAAGAGAAGGGATTGAATCGCCATGCCGCGATGTGTTCGAAGAATAGCGAGTTATGTTGCAGACCGAGGTGAGATGTTTTCGCCTCCTTTGAGCTGGCTGTAGGGTGGAATGGAGGGATGACAAGTATGTTGATGAACAATTCGTACACTCTACCATATTGCTTAGCTCTATAAAACGGTCCTCCTTCTGCTCTTTCCCTCCAGTCATGGGCCACACCTCGCGATATGGTAGTTGTCCAAAGCGCGTTCGGTTGTTGTTCATCCTCAATCACCCCGTCGATCACCTGAACAGATTACTGTAGTGGGATTGATAGTGATATAAACAGAGTCTTACCTTACGGCCATCCGAAATATATTCAACCTTTGGCCGCCGCCTTTTCTGAAAATGAAACGATTTGTGCGATATCATTCACTACGTTTCTACCCACAACGATTCCGTGGAAAAGGCGCTGAGGGCCAATATGGTGCACATTTTGTTAGCGAAATGAAGCGTATAAACAATTCATGAGGCAAACCGTCATGCCATCCAACTACTCCCGGATAACGCGAGTGATTTTCTGTAACAATAAAAGAGGGTTCGAAAAGAAAACTGCTTCTTACAGCAGGAGTTCAACTTAGGTCAAAAAGATCGACAACATATTCGTTGATGAAGTGCGCGATCTGGGTATTCATCTAAGCAAAGGTTTGAACTTCAAGACACACATAAATGTAATAGTTCATAAAGCCCTATCTGTACTTTTTATGATATGTAGAAGTGTTAAATGTAGAGACGCTCGCATCCTATTAAGCCTTTATAGGACCTACGTTAGACCGATTCTAGAGTATGGGTCCCAAATCTGGAGCCCCTGCACTAGAAAGGGACAGATGAGAATAGAAAAGGTACAGCACATCTTCACTAGGATACTTTTTCATAGATGTGGTTTATCTTCGTCTTCTTCGAGTAGCATGCCGTCCTACAAAGAAAGGCTGAAGACTTTAAAACTAGAAAGCTTGTCGTACCGTCGTGTGATCAGCGACTTGGTATTCTGTTTCAAACTTCTAAAAGGAGAATTGAAACTTGGTGCTAGTAAGTACTGGACTTTCAGGCCCTGCCGTGGTCGCACAGGGAGCATCTCCATACAACTGCCGACCTTGAGCACGAGGCACTCTTTATATACCCGCAACTTGATCTTCTTCCGTGGTGCTAAATGGCTGGAATTACTACCGAGGAATGTTCTCGATGCTCCTACCACGCAATCCTTTCGAGCCAGACTGCGAAAAGTAGACTTGGCCTCAGTTCTAATGATGCCTGATATATGATTTGTACACTGTTGATAAGTGGTTCCGCATTGGCTGTTAAAGCATCCACTATTTGGTAGTTCACTGACCATGACTGTTTTATCTAAGTCCTTGCCAGGGACTCTTCTTCTTTCTTTTTTTTGTTTATGAGTACTGGTGCACACACCCTGTCCGGAGTGGCACTTTCCTAGCCTACCGTTTCCACGAGGGTCGTCGGCATACCCGTGTTTCGAAGTTACGGTAAGCCCCTATGACCCCAAACGTGGCGATCGGGCACCATGGCCGGCTGGTGGGTCTGTGCTACTGCTGACTTCGGCCGGGCATCATAACACTCATAAACGCATATTGTCCTATTTATTAGTCAGGTCGGAGTCCTGCTAAGGAGGTCTTTTCTTATTGCGTCATTTCCAGAACAGCAATGCGTACTACTATTTCATTTTAAACAGTCATCCAAGTTCGTGGTCTTTTCTCTGTTAAGTGGTTAGTGTTTTGAGTTCACTTAGTTTAAAGTGGTTATTCTGTGCCTCCCTCTATTTTTCCCTTTTTTCTTTTTTTTCACTATTTCCTTGTTTCTACAAATGCTGTGTCTGTTTTGATTAACTGACTGTTTTTGTTGTAGTGCGGTAATGGCCGCAAATAAAATAAAATAAAATAAAAATATTCAAAGATGTGCTGTACACTCATCTCCAGGGATCGTAGTTATTGCAATGTGCGAAGCGAAGGCCCGCAGCTGTACAAGAGTGCCTTTTTGTCACTCAAAAAACCGTGAAAATGAGGTTGGAGGGGAGCAGAAGATGGGTGGATGCACTTGGGGTCTCCGCGGGCAAACTTGCAGCTTGCCTTTAAGAACTTCCATAAAAGTAGCACATTCGAAATGAGTTGATCAACACCGAACATCTTCACCATTTTTGCCACATGCGAGATAAGAGTTTGGATAGAAAGTCTCCGTGTGCGCAGCACGCAAAGAAACTCAATCGATACTTCGGATTAAGTGCATAGAATTGATCAACAATTTCAGTATGTTCCATGCATTTGACCCTCTTAGATTTAACCCGATAGTGCAAGCGCCTAGAGGAACAGTCTGTGATTGTGCTGATGTAGTATCAGTCGGGAGATCACCCTGTGTCGACACGGAGTGGTAGCTGAAGCTAACTATCTGCCGCATCACCGCAACACAGAGCAACCGACAGACATTCAGAAGTAACTCTTTCGCCTCTGTTAACACTTCCCAATAAAATGCATACGTTGACATAATTTCATGCCGAGATTTTCGTTCCGGGATGAAGTATTGGGTTGACTCATAAGTGATACTGGCCTTTTTTACTAGCTTGAAATTCCGCGCCAATGATGAAAAGTTTATCACTGAGTTCCAGATTATTTCACATAGATTTTCTTGCCCGAGAGGCAATGGCTTAGTTTTTTTGAATACTCTCTTTCTAGTTTTGATCGTTCAGTTTGGTTTGTAAGTTCAACAGCGTTTTGCATAACCTCTCCTTTTTACATAAATTTAAAAGCTGTGTCTTTAGAAAGTACGAGTAATGGTTACAGCGATTCAAAGATTAATTTCGATCTCGCAGACGTGCATCAAACCTAATGCCCTGCTCAGTAAAACTGGTAGCTTATTGCCGAACCGAATCCGCTCATTCAAGGAGACCCATGCTAGGAAATGGGAATCGTAGAGGTCAAGGAATGCTCCATCAAAATCATTAAGGTTCCCTTCAGTTGATGGGAAAGTTCAAATGTTGGTAAATGGGCTCTGCAGGCCAGGGTGCAGGAACATTTGAACAGTACCTCCACAAAGGGCGTCCCATGCGACGTCACGAGGTCCGAATTCTCAGCTCTCTATCGCTTGGATCAACTTCAACCCGTCTTAAGAAGCAACAATCCGTGGTAATATATACCACAACCTTTAAGCTTCTTCCGTTACTTGAGAGCCGAGATAAAGTGCAAAAATTTGTTGTCAAAATTCACATTTGCGTCGAACCGACCCGCAGCATTTCATAGGAATAGGAATGCGCGAAAATGAAAAAAAAATATTGAGGCAACCACTCTATCTGTAGAGCTAGAAATGATCTACCAAATAGCATAAAACACATTGGGTGCAATCCTCGGCAGCAATCCTCACTATTCATTCGAAAGTTTAAGTAAGAAAAAAAAACGCGATTACTGGAGTAGGAAAAAAACGCGATTACCGGGCCAACCTAACACCTGTGAAAGAAGCATTTATGACGCGTCCAATAGTGGAATTTTAGGTATGGCAATATTTTTGGGCGCTCTTGAGCGCTCTGTGCCGAGGACATCTTATTGGATTCGAAGATATATGATCTACAGCGCTTTGCCATTTGGATATCTTCTCTGTGATATTCCAGAAGAAACTTGTCTGACTTCAAAAATAGTATTGGGTGTTCACCCGATGGGAAGAACATGGAAATTCGTCTAACTTGTAGGCAGATGTATGTTCAGCCTGATGAGTTCTTATTGAGCTCCAATGCGCGTTGTACTTACTTGAAGGAGGTTTTCTAATAAAACGTTGTAATAAAAGACTTGAGAAGACGGTAGTTCCTAGTCGACCTGCATCATTGTGGCTCTAGTTAGTGAAGCAAGAAGCAGTGTTGGTCAAGTTTAGAATAGTAGTCATACCGTCTCAAAAACTTCCTTCTCATTCGTTTTTCTTTTGTCGGCGAACTCGTCAATGGTTGACGCCTCAATGGGTGAGTTGAACACATTTATCATCTCTTCTGCTCGAAAATCAGTCTATCTGCCGTGCATCGGCGAATTTACCTTTAAAGTTACTTCATTAGTCTAGGAAGCAACACAGTACGATAGAATGATAGAAAGCGATATAGATACGATGAAGGCTTTGGAAGGGAGATAAGGATAGGCAGGCACAGCGTAGGAAGCAGTAGGCATATGCTATTAACTCTCTGTGACAAAAAAATTCCTTGGAATGCGCGCAAAGATCGGCCTAGGGTTCCTTTGAAAAGAAACAGAACTGCGAGTCGCGTTCAAATAGTAATAAAATCATTGAATTGTGATATTATTCGTTAAAGGCGGAGGTTGTGTAAAGGCAAGTGGCACGCTCACCACGCTCGTGGTCCGGAATCGAATCTCGGATTGCCTCCCGCACAAGCCTACCAAACCTTCTGCCTTCCGGGCAGGGTAGATCGGTGGCGTGGTTCGTTTGGGAGGATAACAGCACTGACTTGTGCATCGGCTGTCTCCATATATAGGGTACACAGCATTCAATAATACATTGGGTATCTAATCTTTACCGCAAGGAACTCTCGTAGAGGTGATACCATGTATGCGATTTCGTCGTCGACGTTCGGCGATGCTTGCGTCTAACAGTGCACGCTTCAGCGAAGCAAGGTTGATGGAAACTAGCCTATTCCTGTGTATATCAACATTGGAAAAGGCCATTTTAAGAAATTTTGGTAGTAACCCTTGCGTTTTGCATTGTAGCAGAAAAGCAATTGACTCATCGTAAACAACGGCAGCTTGGGGCCGTATGCTATACTCTCCCTCGAGGGGAGATTTCCCCTTGTAAACCTCCATTCTTGCCGTTATCTCTACTGATGCCCCTCGTCTCTCTGGCTCTCACCGCTCTGCATCCATACTCTTTTGGCGCATGCTCTGTGCGAATATAGTGCAGCGCAGAGTATAATCGATATGCTCCCCTCTCCCCCAGCGAATGTCGTTGGGGGAGATTCCGCGAGAGTGGGGGAGACATAGATGCAGAGAGGCAGAAGCAGAGAGGCGAGAGGCATTGTTAGAGAAAATTGCAGAGAGCGAAGGTTTCCTGGGGGATATGCCCCTCGAGGGGAAGTACAGCACACGACCCCTGGTGAAGTGCGATATACTTGACAAGGATAGAAAACGTGTTGACGTCGTTGCTGGATTTTCAAATATGATAAAAGAGCTATCCCTGAGCCTCATGATCTTCTTCGGAAAATTGATAATGAGAACTCGTTCACAAAACACCTTTATTGGTGAGCTTTCGCTGTCTTAACAGCTTCGTCAGACTCGTGTTCTGCACCACCAGCAAGAAGCACCTCCTCTAAAAGTGACTGTCATACACCGCACGAAGGAAGCCCCATTGGAAAGAAAATTGCTCGAAGCGCTCGCTATCAA